ATCTACACAGGGGCAGGCAGTGGGACTGGGGGCCACACAGTGTTAACCGCTAAACCCAGAGAAGGGCGGAAGATCCCGACGGGGGATATGGTTCTGGAACACTGTCCTGTGCAGTCCTGATGATCAAACATCTTGTCCTCTCTGGGTGGGGACTCCTGGGCGCATAGCATGCGCAATGGCAGGAACTGGGAGTGGCTGTGACCCTCAGCTAATGAAGAGGCGTTGCTGCTTGGCCTCAAATCTCACTGGAGATGTGACTGCCCCATTCTCCCGGCCATTGTGCCTCCCATGGGAATTCTCTGAGCTACGCTCACTCGCCAGTACAGGGAGTGGACGGATAAGGCCTGATAGTGGCCTGTGACTGCTGAGCTGACCCAGGCAGCTGGTTCTCTGCATGTCAGATCTCACCAGAGATGGCTGTACCTGTGCTGAAGCCGCTCTGATTTTGTGAAAACGGATGACTAGCAAATGAAGAGGGTGGGAACCACAGCTCAGTTAGCACGTGTGACACCATGGGTTCGGTTCTGAGCACCAAAGAACAGGGAAAAGGAGGGTGCTTTCCCTAAGAGCCGAGCTGAATGTGCCGGCAAATGGCTGTGAAAACAGGAAGGTGACAACTTAAAGGGGTTAGGAATGGTGTGGGGAACCGGAAGAAATAACCCCGATGGTCCACTCGGCCCTCAGTTTGATAATGAAACCCTGACTGGATCTCAGTGATGTGCTGCGGTGTGGACTGTGAATATCGCCTGTTGCCACATCACTCAAGAGGCTGAGCACAAGAGTTGCTGGGATTCTGCGGCCAGCTTGGGTTAAGTAGCAAGGCCCTGTCTTAAAAAAAAAAAAAAAAAAGCACAACACCTTGGTGCCTGGGGAAGAAAGCTGGTGCAGAGCTTGCCTAGTGGAGACGAGCCCTGGGTTGGAGCCCCAGAACGGAATGAACAGGACGTGGTGACACACAGCTGTAATCCAAGCACTAAGGAGGTGGAGGCAGAAGGCTCAGAAGTTCAAGGTCATCCTTGGCTACGTAGAGAATTTGAGGCCAGCCTGGGCTTCTTGAGACCCTACCAAATAAGACAAAATAAACACCACATTCAAACCCATACTCATAACTAACTAAAGAAATAGGATTTGTTTGTTTGTTTGTTGCTTTTAGAGACAGGGTCTCTCTGTTTAGCCCAGGCTGTTCTGGAACTCTCTCTGTAGATGATGTTGGCCTTGAACTCACAGAGATCCTCCTGCCTCTGCCTCCCAAGTGCTGGGATTAAAGGCGTGTGCCACACTGCCCAGCAAAATATGAATTATATACACGTCAGCTATACCAGTGCACATCCCGGGACGGGAGAGCTTCTAGTCAGTTCCCCTGGCATCAGAGTGGTGGTGATGGCCTGGAGGGCAGGGACGGTACCTCAGCTGTTCACTCACTGAACACTTATGCACCGAGGGCCCCAGATAGGAGCAAAAGTGTGGGGTGGGACTAAAGGAGAATAGCACTCGGCCATAGGAGTTTCAGTGTCTCACCTCATGGCCCCATGCTTCACTGAGGTTCTAGAATTCCCCAAAATGGCCCAACTCAGACCCCTGACCTAAGGCCCCATGACGAGGCCTCACTTTGAGGCTGGAGCCAGCAGACTATGCCATATTTGGGGTGGCCCTTGACCCTGGGCAGACCTTGACTCCCTCCTGCTAGACTAGAAGCAGCCAGATCCTCAAGTTAGTTTTTCACACATTGGAATGGTTCTGAACTGTAAATTTAGAAAATTTTATAATCTGACACTTGTTATACTTTGAAAGTCATTCACACAAACAATCAGAAATAAGATAAACTGGGAGCAGGCACCTGGCTTTATTCTTTTAACACTATTTTAACCCTTGACATTGAGTGTGTGCGTGTGTGTCTGTGTGTGTGTGTGTGTGTCTGTGTGTCTCTGTGTGTCTCTGTGTGCGTGTCTCTGTGTGTGTGTCTGTGCCTGTGTGTTTGTGTATGCATGCGCATCACAGCACACATGTGGAGGTCACAGGACAGCTTTTGGGAGTTGGTTCTCAGGTGTTCTTACCCGCTGAGTCATTTCACATTCTTTCTCTTAACAACTTTTTGTTTTATTAAATTTTTAAATTTATTTTACATACCAACCAGTTTCCCCTCCATCCCCTCTCCTGTTCCCTCCCCCACCTCCTTTCTACCCCCTTTTAACAACTTTTAAGATAATCAAACCATGGCTCAGTCAGCTCCTGCCCTCTAAGATGGATCTCCCATCTCCTGTGGGATAGGAGGAGGCCTAGACTTGGCCTCCCCCTCTGCTAGAGGCTTGGTTTGCTTGCTGCTTTCTCTGCTTGGAGAAAACCAAGGCACTCTCCCTCCTATTCCAGCCATGGCCCCCACGCACGACCTGCTGCCACCATGCTGCCCTACCTTGCCTGTGTCCCTCCCCGACAGGGCTGCCCTCTGCTGACCCTGCAGCCTCCTGCAGTGCCGGGCGTGCATCCGCCCTTTTCTCTCTATCCTCTGCCCCTAAGAAGCCCCTTCTTCTCCAGCCCAGCTCTGCAGCCTCACGTCTTCCCAGACTGACGCTCTCCCCTAGGTATCTAGCCTCCATCCTCTGCCTTGGTCCTCATTGCTATAGAGTGAGGGCAACGTCAGAATCTAGCCATTGGGACTGGCTCTCTGCTAGACATAGCCATAGTAAGGAGCGTCACAAATTCATGTGCTTTTGGCTCCCCTCATCTAAGAAGTCAGAATAAAATTTTGCTTTGGGCTCAATCTTAGCCAACGTTCTGGGTCTGTCCCCTCATAAAACACTACATCTGTTAGGGGACCTGAATGAACATATTTCACAAATGATACACCATTTGCTAGCCGTGTGAGATGCTGGAGTTTGTGGTTTTAGATACTGCCATTCAATTTAAGAACAACTCTAGAACACAGACCCAGGGACCTAGAAAGCATTCCCAATGCCACTGGGATGATAGTTTTGTGTTTGATTTGCCTGAAGTTGCTGTTTTCTAATCCTATGCTATCTGGTTAAACTGGGACCTCAGAGGCAGGGTTTCCTTAATCTTCCTCGTTGACTTGTGTGGATTTGTAATCACCATGGAAACGCCCCAGGTATTCCAGCTGATAAGGGAAGATGGACCCTAAATGTAGGCTGCACCATCCCAGGGACTGGATAAAGTAGAGAGACAGCTAAGCACCAGCATTGCGGCCGGTGCTCCTGCAGCTGTGCCCTCCCCTCCTCAAACTCTAAAGGTGCTTGTGACGGTACGTTGTCAACAGCACCGGGTAACGGATACAGCCACAGGACGCATTTATTCACTATGGATAAATTCCTATTTCAGTCTGGAATTTGCTTGCCTGAAAACGGCCAATCTGTTACCACCCGCACAGAGCCAACGGCCTTAATGCTTTTGTAGGCCCAATCGGACAGCTTGCTGATCCTTCTCTCTGGGGGGCATCAACTCAAGTCTTCCTTTGTGGGTGCCATGGACCTGAAAGATCTCCACGTATCCTACAAGGTGGGGATGTTCTCGGGTATTCAGTCTTGCCAGGTAAACTTTGTGCCGCTATGTGCAGGAGGCATTGCAGGAGGTAAGTGCCTGGCAGCCACACTTGTGGAGGAAGTTCCCAAGATTGACTGGGGGGAGGGTGTCACTTGACTGTTGACCCTCAGCAGGGATCCCTTGCCCTCCTGAATCCAGGCTCTCACTGGATCCCATGCAGCGAGGCTGCGGCTGTGGGCAAGGCTTGCTTTCCCTTGGCTTGGCTACTGTATGAAGGTGAGAAAACCAAGAGACAGAGTGTGTCTGGATTGTGGCTCCCTGTCTCAGCAGTGACAGAGGGTGGGTCTCCGAGAGTCCCACTTCACACTCCTATCTTCAGGACAGTGTCACATGGCCCTGTCAGCAAAGGAAGGTGGCTTCTGTCCTCACACGCTGAGCGGGTGGTGGCAGCAGCAGGGTCCCCGACTCAGAGTGCTCAGCTTCAGCGCTGCCCGCGGGGACTGTGCAGGGACAGAGGGGACGCTCGGGCACAGGCCCTCAGCCTTCTCAAGAAGCCCGAGTAGTCTGGGTCCATTTTTATTTTTGGTGGAATCACTTAGAATGACGTTTTACTTAGAGAAGTCTAATAAAAATGACGGGGAAAGTAAAACACATAAAAACTTTATTGTAAGTATCACACACCTAAATTTGCATCAATTTGACACATTGCTGCTCATTTGCAGAACACACCCAGTGCAGTTTGCTTACGGGACAGCCATCAACTCCTAGAGCTGTTTGTGCTCACAGTGGGCCCCTCCTGCCTTTACCTCCACGACTGTCCCACAGGGGGTATTCCTCACCCACGGGAATCTGTTCCCAGCAGGGCTGTAGTGTGTGCAGAGGGGCCAGCAGGTTAACCCAAGTGGGGCAGGCTGGGACAGCTAGCTCGTCTCTCCTGGGCTGAGCCAGGCCATCAAGCTCTGTGCTCTCTGTGCAGGCTCCACAGGAAGAAACTTTTCTCCTTGCTCATTTTGCCCCTTTACTCTGCTTCACCCTTTAGCCTGAGTGGCCACAGCAGGGCATTCTAAGCAATATAACCCCCAGCTCAGTATGATGGGGCACTCCAGAGCCTCAAGTTGGCACCGGATCGTTACTTTTACTGAGAGCAGGGAGGAGTAGGGCCAGATTCCCAAGGGTAGAGAGGGCTCATCTCCTGCTTCCTCCCTCATGGAGGAACATCTGGGCAGTGTGGGTAGAACAGCCACTGGGATGTGAACACGTATTTAAGGAAAAAATAGTCCATAGAGAGCAGTGTGACATAGCCTTCCTGAGGTCACATGATCAGAGGTCACATGACCGGTCCCTCTACTGAGGACAAGCAGACTGCTCCCTGTGAGCATCTTGACAGTTGTTCCCCATCTGCGTGCTATAAAACTGCCACAGAAGCCTGCAACTGTCATGCATCTGAACATGTCGAGAAAGACGATTCTCCAAACTGAGAAAGGCCCAGTAAAAAAATAAAGATAGAAAATACATGCTAATTTAATGGCAAACTTATCTGATACTACAATGGTAACCATCTTGGAGTTAAGGACAGTGTAGGTGGGGACCACCCTCTCCTCTTGAGAACTCTGTGCCAAGTCTGCTGTGCTGGCAGGGACACACCCCTGTCATTCAACAGCTGGGCTGAAGGTCAGTGCTGCAGCAGGAAGTTGGTGGCCACATTGAGGTCATTGTTTGAGGCCCTCAGGGCCTCCAAGGCATCCCCTCTGGAAAATCCCATCTCCATGAGCCGGGCAACCTGCAAAGAGAGGAGAAACTGAGGGCCAACACCACGAAGTTCATCCTCAGCCCACGTGTTTTTCACATGACTTTGTGGGGAAGCTCAAAGCTTCTAAAATAACCAGAACCCAGGTCAAATCTGATAATAAAGGATTATTAAGTCTAGATCTGGTAGAACAAGACTATAATCTCAGTAGTTGGAAGGTGGAGGCAAGAACACCAGGAGTTCAAGGTTATCCTGGGCTATACTGAGTGGGTTTGAGTCTAGCCTAGGCTACATGAGCTCCTGTCTCATAAAACAAAACAAAGAGGCTGCGAGGAGGGCTTGGCTGATAAATCATTTGCTGAGAGCATAAGGATCCCCCAGCACCCATGGAGAGTGCCAAGTAGTGGGCTGTATCCCGAGGATGATACACACCTAAGGCTGCCCTCTGGTGCACGCTCTCTCTCTCTCTCTCTCTCCAAAAAAATGACTAAAGTAAACCTTTTCGGTGCTTACTATATCACAGGAAAGTCCCTCGTGATCCTTACTGTGCTCGTGACTTTTCTTGGTGCCATGACTGCACACCTGACAGAAAGTGACTTGTGGGGAGAGGGGACAGTCCACCCTGGTGAGGAAGGCATGGCACGGTCACGGAACTGTGTGATTTTGCACACCTGACAGAAAGTGACTTGTGGGGAGAGGGGACAGTCCATCCTGGTGAGGAAGGCATGGCACGGTCTCAATGGACCAGGAGCCAGAGAAAGGAATGCAGGAGCTCGGGGCCTCTTCCTGTTTCTAGCTTTGTTTAGAATGGGAACCCAGCCACAGGAGGGTGCTGCCCACGTCAGGCACACTTCCCTCAGTTAAGTCTCTGGAAACATGCCTGAAGACTGGCCCTAAGTGTCTCCCTAATCCAGTCATGCTACTAATCAAAACAGTGAGGAATCAGGACTTCTGAGGCCCCATGTGGCCCACTGGGCCAGGCTGTGGGACAGCTAGTGTAGACAGCCTGAGCTCACTGGGCACACGCTGTGTCAAGTGTGACCCTAGAGGGCTACAAGTGTGTCACTGGAGCCTCACTTTGGATGTCACACTCTGATGGTCACCATGTGCTTGGCTGCTGGTGTGCTAGTTTCTTGCCTGCAGGGCACATCATGTGCTGAGTCCTGCCTGAGGCCTGGGCTTCTGCAGGAAGTAATGTCCCTATGCAAGGAGAGCTGAGGCAGGGACAGTAACAGAGAAATGGCGGCAACCTAAAGCCACTGGGGACAGGAAGCACCAGGCTTGTACAAACCACAAATCTTGGCTGAATACGGAGACTTCCTGTACTTGGTTCACAGGCAGTCTCCAGTGTAGACAGGTGGTACCCAAACTTCGCCATCACTTTTACCAAGTAAGCAAAGAATCTAGGCTGCCTTTAACCACAGCACTTGTGAGCCAGAGGCAGGAATTCAAGTCCAGCCCTCATCACAGTGAATACAGTGCTTGCCCAGGCTACATAGGAGTCCATCCCTGTCTCAAAAACAATCAGAAAAACTCAACTACAACAACAAAGTCACAAAAATATTTATAGCCTGGGCTACCTACAGGACAAAACATATGGCTCCTTTCTAGCCTGGACTACCGACAGGAAAAAACATATGGCTCCTTTCTAGCCTGGACTACCTACAGGATAAAACATATGGCACCTGCAATAACAAACAGCAAATAATGAGACTTAGGAATGCCAACTTTTTGCTGCTACAAGGGGAAAGATCTGAGTCTCGGTCACTGGTTTAAATTTTCTTTCTCGTTGCAGGGCAAGTGCCAGGCACGATACATGGGAAGCCACAGGGGAGACTGATGTGGGCAGTGGCTCTGCTAGGCGGATCACTACTAAGAAGTGGCTGCAGGACAGGGACCTTACATGATCCAGGAGCTAAGGGAAGACACAGCCATGCACACTGGTCTGAGGCTGGAGTTTTAGCTTGTGTTGTTCATCTCGATTATGGTCATGAGTACGTAGTGGGGTCAAGTGGGATTTTAGATTGCAGCAGGAGGTTCGTCCTGCAGGTTCCATTCCCTGGTCCCTGCATTTCTCACTGCGGCTGTAGCCTGTGCCGTGGTGGGCTGGTCCACATGCACTGAAGGATGTGAAGGCAGGGTGGATACAGCTCAACCTTTTTGTTTCCTTTCCCTTGCAGGCTCCTTACTCGTGTGAGCAGCACAACAGGGGTCTGCTCTATGGTCCAGACGGGGCATTCTTGCTCCTGTGGACAGAAGCGGTCATCTGTGATGGCTGCTGTCCTTGCTCCCTCACTTCCTTTCCTTCTCTCTGCTGGCACCCAGCTCTGGGCTCACCCAGCTCAGCTGGCTCTGTCACCCCTTCCAGGGGCTCTTCCCTCTGCTGCTGGCCTGAGGACTCTTCCTCACCCATGTGACTTTTAGGCACCTGCTCTTTCTGTGTCTCTCTGGCTAGAAGGATTCCAGACTAGAAGACCCTGGGGTCCACAGATTCGTGTTCTGAGAACAACTTTAAAAGGATCACTTTCTCCCCTCATGGTAGAGACAGCACTATGAAGCAGCTAACATCATGGCAGAAAAGAAACAGAGAAAGGGACAGTTAGGCACCAGGGACAGGGCATCCCAAGGACCTACTTCAGCTAGGTCTCCTTTCTAAGGTTTACAGAGCAACCCCAATGTCACTAGCTGGGCCTCAACCCAGGAACCTGTGATGGACATTTGTAGTCACGTTAGAACATCCCCAGGGCCAGGGATGTGGCTCAGGCAGTACCAAGTTTGCCCAGCGCACACAGAGTCCTGGGATTTAGTCCCTAGCACTGCACAGACTGGACAGGACGGTACATGCCTGTAATCCTAGTACTTGGGAAACAGGCAGGAGCGTCAGGAACTCAAACCACCTGTGATACAAAATGAATTTGAGAGCAGCCTGGGATACATGAGACTCCATTAAAAAAAATTCACCCATCTTAGTCAGTGTTCTATTGCTGTGAAGAGACCATGGCCACGGCAACTCTTATAAAAGAAAACATTTAAAGCACAAAGCTCATTGCCATCTCATACAGCAAAATACATTTAGTCCATCTCTCAGGCTCTTGGTCTTAATAATTTCATCAATGTCTAAAAGTCTCTGTGAGACTTAATGCAAACTCTTAGCTGGCTTTCAGCCATGCTAAACAGGAAAGGATCACCTACACCAACACAGCACAGCATACGAAAACAGTTCCCTTCTAAAGGCAAGAACAGGAGGAGTGAGGCCAAAAAAGAATAGACCAGAGGCCACACTCAGCAGAACAAGCACTACCCCTGCTCCCCATGCCTGGTGTTCAGGGCACACATGGTCTCACACTGACCTGAGGTCTACTGGGCAGCCCTGGCTCCATCCACTGTTGAGTTCTCCGTTCCTGTCACTGCCAACAACACCACCTGCTCAGGGACTGCTGTCTATGACTCAGCCTTGCCACGCTGCCTGGCCTCCCAGACTTCCCTTTGAAATGAGTAGAAACTTCCATGAGTCTGAAATGCCTGGATTCTGCCTGCCTACACCATAGCGATGGTGCCAAGTTCTGCTGCCAACTGGAGCAGTAGATGGCCCTCCATGGACCTGGGGAAGTAGCTCCCTGGGCATTCCTGTGTAAGCAGGGAGCCTGGAGACTCTGTCTTAGCTAGGGTTTCAGTACTGTGAAGAGACACCATGGCCAAGGCAATGCCTACAAAGGGAAACGCTTCATTGGGGCTGGCTTACAGGTCAGAGTTCAGTCTACTACTGTGGGAACAGGAAGAATGGTGTCACACAGGCAGACATGGCGCTGGAGAGCGATGTCAGGATTCTGCAGGCCATGGGAAGAAAGAGACACTGGGCCTGGCTTGAGCATCTGAAACCTCCAAGTCCACCCCCAGTGACACACACCTCCTCCAAGGCCACACCTCTCAACAGTGCCCTTTCCATTCAGACCACCACCAAGTCTTTCAGATGAGTCTACAATTTTAAATTTTACATCCTGGACAGCTGGGGGTTGGGTCTGGTCAGTTCCTACCACACTGCGATGGCTATTCTTGGTTGTCAACTTGACTACATCTGGAATTAACTAAAACCCTATGAAGGATTTTTTTCTTTCTTTCTTTTTCTTCCCTCCCCCCTCTCTCTCTTGATTTTTTGAGAGAGGATTCCTCTGTGTAGCCCTGGCTGTCCTTGAATCACAGAGATCTGCCTGCCTCTGCCCCCCGAGTGTTGGGATTAAAGGTGTGTGCCACCACCGCCTAGCAACACACATGCTCTTAAGGCATGCTTCCTATATCCTGGAAAAAAGTGCCTGGCGTCTTTGAAAATGCCATTGATTTAACAACCACATCCTTTATGTCTACAACTTTCTATACTACTTTTTAGGCCAGACTGCACAGTTTTCAAATCCTTCTGCTCAGCTTTTTTGCTTGCAATTCTCACTGCAAATCTGGTTAAAAGTGGGCAGAAAAGGCCAGGCTTCAGCCAGAGTACCATGCTATTTTGAAATTTCCTTTACCAAATTAATTAGTTACTTTAAAACTTAGCTTCAAAGTCTTAGGACTTGGAAAAGGAATTCAGACAAGTTATTTATCCAATGGTCACATAAATCCCCCCATCCCGATTCCCAGTACCGCACAGCTGGCCTTGACTGTGTCCTTACTGGTATTCTCATCTTTCAGGCTTCCCCCAGCCCACTTCCCCAAACTTTCTAATTCTTCCCATAACCCAGCTCCACACGCTTAGGATTTAGTCACAGCAATGACACTATTTTCAGTACTAAACTGGCTGATCTTTGTACCTGTAACCAGATCACCTGGTAGAAGTACAAGGCTACTGTGGCTCAGAGGTCTAAAGGTCTAGGCCACGGTCACTTTGCCCCCCTGTGCCTGGACAGAACATTATGGTCGTGTATGTGGCAACCAGGAGGCAGAGGATGAAACCAGAAGGAGTCAGGGACGAAATACTCAAGAACCCGTTCCCTCACAGGGACGGAACAGCCAAGGCCCAGCTCTCCCAGTGTCCTGCTCCATCC